CGGCTTCTGGCTTCTCTGGGCCCTTTCGCTGGAAATCGTTTCGCTCGAGTGGGATTTACTGAAGCCAGCGAGAGAAACCCTGGGAGAAAAAACCAAAAGCTTATTTCAGCTTTCAGCTCTTTTGTTTTTTTTAAGCTGGTATAAGTTCAGGTTTATCAGCAAAAGAGATGTTTTCCTTCTGCCCCCAGTGCTGCAGACGTGAGCCAGGCTGGAGAAGTGTTCAGGCTGAAAACTAACTGCATATAGCTTCTAACATAACACCAGGACTGGACTGTCTGGTATTGTTACTGGATTCATTATCATGTCCTGCTGCATTTGGTTTACCCAAGTTTGCAAACGGTTGCTAAATCGGGGTATTTATTTATTTTTTTAAGGGTAGTTAATATAGACAAGCATTAAGTTTAGCTTTAGTTTGGTAGTGCATGGACTTAAAATCTTAATGTGTAAAAACACATTGTTCATGATATTTAAGTGCTGCCAGAAATGATATTAGGAAATACATTTTTGTGAAACTGGACTGGATTAATTTTACTTCCTGGTTGTTATGCCCTTGGATTCCCCCTGCCCTGTCCTCCCTGCAATCCAAACTTAATTTAAAAATGGATTACAGCTTGTAAATCTCTTTTAAGCATTGTTAGTCCAAAAATTAATTGGCTCTACCTTTTAGAAGTGGTTACTGACGTGGGTGAGATTTTTATCTGTAAGGAAGCAGCTAATTTAAATGATTGCAGCAGCAGGAGGTATTAACTGTACTTTGCAGAAATGTTATGCAATAGAAGACATCACTGGCTTGAAAGAAAAATGAACCAAAACATCAGCTGCACTGGATTCAGCAATTCATTCTCATATTAAGTGAACAAAGTTATTACAAATCTGCCCGGAGCTTATCTCTTAGCTCATTCTCTAATCATAGAATCATAGAATGGTTTGGGTTGGAAGCGACCTTAAAGATGATCAAGTTCCAACCCCCCTGCCATGGGCAGGGACACCCTCCACTAGCCCAGGTTGCCCAAAGCCTCATCCAGCCTGGCCTTGAACCCCTCCAGGGATGGGGCATCCACAGCTTCTCTGGGCAACCTGGGCCACTGCCTCACCACCCTCTCGGTAGAGGAACATAAACTTATACCAATAAAAGTACATTTCTCTAGGATATTCAGAACACAGTAGATAATGGCCTGAAAGATGCTGCTGAATGACCCGCATCCACCCATCAGATGCCATACATAACAAATAATAATTCAGCAGTTTAAAAAATGGTTTTGTAGATGCCTCACACTTGCCGATGTGTCATGTTGTAGGTCACGCCTTCATGTGGAGAAGTCCTGTTTGCAGTCATGCGCTGTTCCCTTCGGTGATACGGAGGCAGTCTTGGCCCTTCTCTGAAATGGGAGGGAGCTGTTGTGGTCTGGCCGTCTCCACACGATGAGACTGCCAGGCCTTAGAGGAGGGTGGCTGTGTGAAAACCTGTCTTTCTCGGGTGCACACGGAACAGGCTAACTCCCAAGCTGCGCAGGACAGTAGTTGGTCCAGGGCAAAGCTGTTACAAGAATTGCTGCTTTCGTAGGACTATAGAGGGGACAGCACGGATGGTACATAGTCCGTATATGGTTTAATGTACCTGGATACTCGTAAACTTTGTGTTTTCTACAGTGAATAACTTTTCAAGAAAGCCCTTTGTGTGAAGTCCCATCATCATGCTGAGCAAATCTCTCTTCTCTTACGGAGTTAGGTGGAAAATAAGGCTGAAGGAAATGCTGCCTGATTTATTAAAGTTTGCTAGATTGAGTCCCTTCTTTGCTGATCCTGGACTTTTCCTCTCTCTTTGCTTTTCCCGGTCTGCCAGTGCCCTTTGTGTCAGACTACAGTATACTATGTGGAGAGGATCAGCTGCTGCTGAATCTGATCCAGCTAAAGAGCAGGAAAGCACAGACTTTTCGATTGCTGTCAGATAAATATTAGTCCCTGATTAGTTTTTCTATAACAAACCATGAAGGCAGGAGGACATCTTATTTTCAAACACCTGGTGTTTCTATACAATCTTCCTTGAGAAGAGTCCTTAAAATTTAACTTAAGAGTTTTTATCAGAAGTGTTTCACAACATTGTAATTATTGTATGCTGCCACAGTAGTATTTGGTACAGTGCTGAAACACCCTGCTTCAGTTCTTAAATTAAAATGAAGGGCATACTGGGTCATCATCTTTGGGGTTTGTTTGGTTTTTTTAATGTTTGGGTTTTTTTTCCAGAAAATGTCAGCTTACTGTTCAAGTTGTACTGCCTCACAGTGATGACCCTGGTTGCTGCAACGTACACAGTCGCATTGCGGTACACACGGACAGTGGAGACAGAACTGTACTTTTCAACGACAGCTGTGTGCATCACTGAAGTTATCAAGTTGTTCTTGAGCGTGGGCATCTTGGCTAAGTAAGTGTTGGAGTGCTAATCAGTATTTTGAAAACGAATCCCAGCTTCTAACCTCAGATTCTTAGATACCGAAGTCCAGATACATTTGAGAACTGGATAGTCATGCTGTGGAAGAGTAATTTTAGAGCGGGTTAGAGCTTGTGAGTCCTCCTCAACTGAAACTGCTTTGTAAACACCACAGTGCTCAGGTGTGTCCTTTCTGCATGTTTTCTATTTTTGTATTGCTTTGGAAGGGGTTCAAAATGTAGTTGAGTATAATGAGCAGAATTGACCAATTTCGTAGTAATCTCCCATTTTGCATCATTTATGAGTGTGCTGAACAGCATAAATTCCAGCATAGTTTCCTTCAGTGTCTCCTTTACAGCTTCCTCCAGTTCTGAAGTCCTAACCAGTTTGTCTCGCCCAAGGCAAGATGCCTTTGTAGTTCGATAACCAGTTAGAAGATCAAATACAGTCTGTTTTTTCTGTACTGCGGGATACATTTGGGTGGGTACCTTTTTCTTTTTGAAACAGCCACCCTTGGTTACTGCAGTATACAGGATCCTGGAGTATGATTCTCGCATTGTTCTGTCTGAAGAATTTGTTTTCTTACCCCAGGCTTTTGCTGTGTTTACTTTTAAGGTTTCTCCTGGAAGGCACATTGAATGGATGAATGCCAAAAGATTGTCTTTTAAAAGAGGAGTTTATGATAGATTAAGCTGTGTTAATTGTTTACTCAACTGTACTCTCAACTTGTCATATTTATTTAAAGTCTAGTTCCCCATTTGGTAATTGCATTGTCTACATTCTTAGATGGTATATAATTTCTTAGCAACAGATGAAGAAAAGTAGAGCTGATTTGTAAACTAGTTTAAACTTCAGCTTTTCTAACAAATGCATCTGATCTGTATCTGTGCTAATTATATTTTATTTATATTTTATTTGCAGTTAGACATTTGAGATAGAAGCACTTTAGTCCAGCTGTTCTTGGATATTACCAGGAACTCTTGTTTTCTTGTGGCTCTTATCTCTTATAATGCTGGGCAATATAATAAATACATTGAGGAATAAGGAAACAGACAATTTTGCCTGTGATGTCAATGACTCATAACATTTGAGACAGTTCTGTATCTAGTGCAATCAGCCATGGTGAGCTGTAGCATGAATTCTTCCCCTTCCTTGTATTGCAAACTTTGCTTTAAGTGCTGCTTGTCTACAGATTGTCATGTCAGTGGTTGTCCCTTGTGGCCAGGCATGTCTTGCAAAAGACACCTCTGTGACACGCTCGGTGTCACCAAGTCTGTCCCAAGTAAAATATCCCCTTAGGTTAGGAAAGAGCTTCACATATGACCTCACTTGTACAACAGGAGTGTGGGAAACCATACTCTGTTTGGTAACTGCCCCTGCGCTCTGTGTTATGGGAAAATGACAAAAATAATCCCTTGCAGCTGCCTGTAAAAAGACTGCTCTCACACTCCCCAAAAAAAAAAAAAGAGAAAAGGAGGTATATGCTTGGTGCCAGGCAGGGAGAAAGGCAAGGGAGGAGAGAAACGTGGATGGAAGGATCATGACAGGATAGAGTCCATAAGTCTTTGGAGAGGAAAAGTTTAAGAATCTGGAGCAGAGAGTCAGGGAATGGAAAACATGCAGGAACAAGGTGGTTTATGAAGGAGCCTGGGGCATAGAAAGATTGCTAATTTTGGTAACTGCTAATAAGAGTTTGGGGTAGGTAGATAACGTACATTTGTGAAAAATAAATAAGTTGGGATGTGGGTGAAATGTGGGGAGTTGGGCTCCTGGAGCGCTGAGGAGGATGTGAGCCATTTGTTCCTCTGTGTGTGTAATGGAAGCAAAAGGAGTGTGAAATTCAAGAGCAATACAGGTTGCAAGTCAAGAGGCCTGTGGGAGGGCAGAGGAATGATTTTGGCTGTTGGTATTTGTCAGTGGCCAAGCGAGAGAAGAACGGAAAGGGGGAATGCAGGACTTGGGGAGAGCTGGGAAGGGAACTGGAGGACTTGAGTAGTAGCAACAAGCGAGCAAGAAATGTCAGATTGATGTAGCAGCTAGGAAGAACTAGCAATGCAGAGGTCAGCTTTAATGAGGAGCAATCCGCAGGAGAGGACAGCAGCAAGAAGCAACACGTTCTTCCCCATTGCCTGCTCTTTTGCGTGCTGTAATTACATGAAGGAGACATGTGAAGATGCAAGGTGACAGGAGCCACCACACGCCCTGCCAGACCTCTTCACGTGCGTGCTGGTGCCGGTCCAGCATTTCCTGCAGCACAAGCGAGAAGAGGAGCCCAGGGCTGCCTGAGGAGTGGGAGGTGTTTCCAGCTCAGTAGTGTGCAAGGCCGCAATCTTTTTTTCGGCTGTACTGTGAGGCCCAGTTTAAAGGAGATCTGGAAAATCATGGGTATTTGACATCACACACAAATATTAATAACGAAAAAAAAGGAGGGGGGGACCGACAGCCTTCTGTCCCATCGCTTGTATACTTAGTGACTTACTCCACTGCTTACAGTGTTCATGGTTGTTGTTTATTTCACATTAATGCATCTAACCTCCTGATTCTAGAATGTCTTCTTCACCTTCAGGGGTTTCTACTTGTTGATAACCTCTACTGTTTTTTCCCAGTTCATTTTTCTTTAATGAGCAGAAGGTACAACTGATTGTTGAGAACAAATTTTCAGCCTTCCCAAAGGATTCACTGATTTGATTTCTGTTTTCAAATATCAGTTTAGGAGACCCCTCAGTTATATTAATATTTTATTTTGCAGAGAAACTGGAAGTCTGGCAAGGCTAATAACATCTTTACAAGAAAATGTGTTTGGAAGTCCTACAGAATTGCTAAAATTAAGTGTTCCATCTTTGGTGTATGCTCTCCAAAACAATATGGCATTTGTGGCTCTTAGCAACTTGGACGCGGCAGTCTACCAGGTAATACACGTTTTTGTCAGTAACTGATCTGTAAATACATTTCTCTTTTACTGTGTCATGAGGCATGTGTGCTGGGTACCTGTCTGCCTAGCACACAGTGCCCTCTTTAGCCTCAGTGTTAAAAGCCAAGTGATGCTTTGTTGTGTTCAGAGCATTACACTCTGTTGCAGTGCTCTGGTTTTCTGAGCTAACCCACTCACCGCTGGAGTCACTTCAAATTCATGTTGTTGTAATTGGTGATGGACAAAAACCTAAGGATCTGTAGGAATTCAATGAATATAAAATTTTATTTGTAGTTCTGTAGTTGAATTCTCTTTTATTTTCTTGTTTTGGAGGAGCTGATAAAACCATGTCCTCTGTGCTATATTCCCATCTCCTTTAGGTGACATACCAGCTGAAGATCCCTTGTACAGCTTTATGTACAGTCCTAATGCTAAACCGTACCCTTAGTAAGTTGCAGTGGTTCTCTGTCTTCATGCTGTGTGGTGGTGTTACCCTTGTGCAGTGGAAGCCCGCTCAGGCTACAAAAGTACAGGTAAGAGTTCATGTTTTGCCACTTCACAACAAAGAATAAACTGCCTTATGTTTTGTATTTCACTTCACAGCAGCTGGGATCAAGGTAAGGTCTCTTACACAGCAGTATCCGTTTCCTATTTCCAGCCGCTTCGCCTACGACATAAACACTAGTTTGATCATTCACTTTCCCATTTATTGCATACCAGTTTGGGCAGGCTTGTGGTATTGCTCCACTCTCACTTGTTGGAAAGGCAACTGATTGCTACAATTAGTATAAATTACCACAGTCATCATCATCAGTCTAATGCACCATCGTAGCAGTAGCTGAGTAATATATTGTTGCCAGCAGTTGGCCCTGGTATCCTTGTAATCGTTGGCACAGAGAACTTGGAATCGAAACACTTGGCAGAATTAGGAGTGAAGCTCCAATGCCTTGTGGGTGTGGGTATGTCATTTAAACACACCCTTCTGAGACACTGACCTAATCCCATTCTAGGAAGAAACAAGAGTCTTTTGTTTCTTAGGGCTCAGCTGCTGGTCAGTGGCATTAGTGGGGAAGGCAGGTCACGCAGCTGGGAAGACTGGCCACAGCCAAGCAGACGGTGCCTCTGAGCACTGCAAGGATTGGTAAGAGTACACGCAGAAAATGAAACATCACACAACTACACCGAGCTGATCTGAAGGACAGCTCTAGCTAAGCAAGGACACTTTATAATGTAATGAAATGCTGATAATTTTGCTGTACTTAACGAAGTAGCTCTGGAATTGGTTATTGTGAATTACTGAAGTGATGCCTTCTTTTTCAAATAATGGTTGATGTTGCAGGTGGAGCAGAATCCATGGCTGGGGTTTGGAGCGATTGCTGTTGCTGTATTGTGTTCAGGATTTGCAGGTATAGTATTACTTCTGTACGCAGGTCACATCAAAAGGACTGGAGAACTCATGATGTTTAAAACAGAACATTCAACAATAGTTAACTGTCTTTGTTGATCAGAAGATAAAAAAGGACTTTATCCCCTCTGCCTGTAATGACCAGTAATTATGACAGATTCATGACACGATTACTCCAGTTGCCAAGCAATGACTAGGAGCACGTACTATTGGTTTTACGTGATGCAACTTAGCAGGCTGGTTTGCAAGTGGATGCGTCTTTCGGATGCTTAGAATAATACTCTAGGGAACATCCATAATGGCTCGCACAGTACAATTGATTAATGTATGTCAGTCTTAGGAAGGTGGCTTTACAGTGGATAGATATACTAAATGCTTGAATTTTTTTTTTGTAAGGGGGACCGAGCTCCTAACTCAGTTCTTGCACTAGCTCAGCCCTGAAATACACAGGTGGTAAATCTAACTGAGATGCAGAGGGAGCATGAGTAAGGCAGAGAGGAAGATGAGTAGCAGGAAGCCTAGATTAACTGTGTGAAGGATTTTTTTGTTTGGTTTGGTTTTGTTCTACAACCAGCGTTTCCCCTCAGAGTAGTTTTTCTCTGGCTTCTGCAGAAAGAGACCAGAACTTGAACACAAGTGAGCTGGTGCTGAGAAATAAGGAAACGCAAATTACTACTTGATCTGAAATTTGGTGCACAGGGACATATTTCCCTGGCTGTAAACTGGATTCTTCCCTTTCCCTCTTTAAGAAAACAAGGTATTATCACCCACCTCTAGTACCATACAATCCTGCAAGAATAATCTTGTGCTATGTGTACACGCTCATTGCTCATGGGAAATATTCTGGTTGGTAGGGGAGGAAAGGAGGAGGGTGTCGTTCTTGTTTGATGTATTTTCAGTGAAATGGGCACTTCGAAGCAGAAATACAAAATAAGACTGTGTAGAGCTCAATCAACTTTTCCTGGAGGGTTATAAATTTACTTATTTCAATAGATGCTCCCAAGCCATGAGACAAAATACAGCGTTCACAGTGAAGCCTTCAGAGTCTCCTAAAGCTAGAGAGCTCTCTAGCTTCCTCTTATGATGCAGGTACACAGCTGTGCTCCTGAAGGTCTGCAGATTCAGACCATTGAAAGGGCTGATGCAGGCAGCTCTAGAGGATTTAGACACATACAGTTTTCTTCTCATGCGAAAGGATTGCAGCTTGGGTGTTTCCTCATTGACAGCTGGAGCTTTGAGGCAGCTGGGAGGATGGAGTATTTAATCAGTGGAGCTCCTTGTGCCCTTGGGGCTTTACAGTTGAAAACATAAATCCTATTCAAACTCCTTTCCTCTTCTTCCTTCCCCCACCCACATGAAGAAGTTATTTTGGCATTAAACCTTCAGTTTCTGGACTGACCATGTTAAGTGTTTTATATTATTCTAGCAAAGTCAGAAAAGTCATGTGTTTTTGTCCCTCAGAGATGGAAAATAAGTGTTTTCTTCAAGCTGCTGATCCTGTGATAATTTCCAAGTATCTGCCAGCCCAACAACACCTATAAAAGCATTGGGCAAATAGATAATGGCAGATCCTTTGGGACTTCAAACAGTATTGAAGAGTTAGTTCTCCTAAACAGCACCCATTCTTTCCTCCATCTCGCCCAGTGGAGTGATTTTTATGCATTTTCAGAATCTGAAAGCATCATTTCATTGGTTTGCTTACTGTTTTCTTAGTTTATAATATTTACAGGTATGGTTCATACTCAAGCCAAATTTCCTGGTATATTGACTACATCTGGTTGTGCTCTGTGGGTCTTCTCAGCCTGCAGAAATCTTGGGATAGATTACTGTGGCTTCTTTTAAGCGCTGCAGTTGTGTCAGTTCCATATACTTTTCTCATATTGTATGAAGGATCTTGGTTGACATAAATCAGCAATGAACTTTGTCAGTAGGACTCGCACCAGAAGGTCACGGAAGGGGCTAAGAAGATCTGAGTCCTGCAAACTGCTGTCTGTTTTGAAATGCAGAGGACATTCCAGAGATGGGCAGAGTCCTGGTGTAGGAGCAGTGATGGCCTTGTCAAATGTCGCCCTTTTAGTGGTTCTACCTTCCAAGTAGAATAATGAAGAAGTATTTGGGGAATTTCAGTAATGCAGAGCATAAAAGTAATGCTCATCGGCATGGCACTGTGAACAAGAGCTTTAGATTAAAATGAATTCCATTTCCTCAAAACCAATCTGTAGTTTCAATTAGCAGGAGGCATAGGTTTTGATTTGTTCTTGTAATCCCCTGAAGCTGTGGTTTCAGAACATTGCCACTCGGTAAGTAAGCACAAGACTCCTGAGGAATTTTCAGTCTCAGTACTGAGGTAATATAGTCCCACCCACTCCTTTTATTTGTTATTATTATTATTTTGTACTGTTAAATACCTCGATGGAAGAAAAATCATTCTCCATCATACTGCAATACATAAATACTGTCCTGGGGGTAAAATACCAGGTGCCAAGGCGAAATGCTTTTTTTTCTGGTGTAGAATTGTACAGGAGAAGCTGTTGGAATCGGAAGCCTCCCAAATCCAACAGAAACGAGGAGTAGTTTCAGTTGTCAGTGAGGTTTGTTGTTAAAAGAACTGTAAATAGAATCTATTTTTTTATGTTATATATCCATTAAAATGATCCTGTCATGGAAGGTGCACGTTAGCAGGACGTGGTTTTCGGTGTTCTGCATTGGGAACTTCTGTGAAACATAACAGTCTGTAAGATGAGCCCAGTAGTCTTGTATGGCTTTAAAACACTATGAACCATGAATCGTTAAGGATTAAACTTCATTCATCTTACTGAAACTTTTTTTTTTTTTTTAGGAGTTTATTTTGAGAAGGTCTTAAAGAGTTCAGATACTTCTTTGTGGGTGAGGAATATTCAGATGTACTTATCTGGGATTGTGGTGACTTTATTTGGTGTGTACGTGTCAGACGGAGCCCAAGTTCTTGAGAAGGGGTTTTTCTATGGCTATACATACTACGTCTGGTTTGTCATCTGTAAGTATCTTGTGGTTTCAGGGTCTCGTTACATTATTTTGTTTTTTTTAACTGTAACTGATTGCATGAAGCTACAACCTCAGTCTGACCCACTGTTCTTTACTGTGTTTTGAGGGGGGGTTTTTTAAAGTATCATTATCTTGGAAACTATTCACTTGTTCAATCTGAAATTGTGGTGAAGGCGCAGTGTAAATGGCTGAGTAGTGAGTAGATCATCTTTAAATGAGTTGTTTCTGATCTGTTGGATGCCATGTAGACATCCCGTTTTGCTGAATGCTGTGTGAAGCCATCAGTTAGGATGACATAGCACCAACAAAGAGTACACTGGTGGGGTAAAATGCATCATTTCAAGAATAACCTACTGCACCTTTACTAATAGAAACATGTTATCTGCTTTCCAGTTCTCGCCAGCGTAGGTGGCCTCTACACTTCCATTGTTGTTAAATACACAGATAACATCATGAAAGGCTTTTCTGCAGCAGCAGCCATTGTTCTTTCTACGGTGGCATCAGTCATTCTCTTTGGCCTCCAGATAAGTAAGTGCCTTTTTGCCTTTGATTTGACCACACACCTTTCCTTCCTGGCTCGCAGGCTGTGCACAGTTCATATAAAAGCAATAATTTGTGCCTCCTTTGAATTTTTCTGGTATTAACTTAGTTTTCTCCAGGACTCTTACGCACTCCTCCCTGTTGCGTCACATGAGGTGCCTGATGATCCTGTGTTTACAAAGGCATTCACAGTTTGTTCTTTCAGAGGCATCCTGCAACCTCAAATGGAAAGGTTATTTCCAATTTAAACAGGTTATGAGTTTATACAGCTTTATCCATGAATCACTTGAGTCGTGAATTGCTCTCTGATGCAGTTCAGTGTGTGATACAGCTGTTTACCCCAGACTGCGGTTGATAAGTTATCATTTCTTGTTGGTTTTAGTACAGCCAGTGCCAAATTAATTCCTCAGCTTTTTCCGCGAGGGCTTTGCCACATCCCTGTGAAGTTATACCTGCTATTGCATTAACTCTTACCTTTCCTAGTTGCTGTGACAGCAGCTGGGGTCAGGACTGATGTGGTGAATAGTTTTGAGACGAAACAGCAGATTGCTTTGGGCTGTTCTGCAACTACAAAGGATTTTCTCCCTGATAATTCTGTGTCTGATATTGTATGCTGTAGCTCCAGATCAGTCCTTCACTGTTTAGTTTTGGGTATTTTTTTCACTTTCCTACCATAATCCAAAGACAGTATGGTGTGATGGTGGCAAAACTAGCTTTCTGATGTGGCATTTGTGAGACCAAACTTAAGGAAAGTTTGCATAAGGATAAAATAATCAGCGTTTGGCTGAAAAAGCGCACTGTAAAGCAAGTGATGAAAACTACAACTAGTTTAAAACTCACTTGGGCAGAATATTTTCTTGATGCTTGCCAAAAATCAAACCTCGACTGGCAATCTTTCTGTGAATTCCTCATTAATAGTGTTTCTTAACCCTGTCTAGAAGTGGAACAGTAAAGTGTGTTATCACAGATGCTTTATCCCATCCACCATGTCTGTATTGTTAAGTTATTGTAAAATGAGCCTGTCAGATGTCATCTGGAACTACAGGAGATGTCTCACACTTGCTTTTCTGACCATCACCGTGTTCTTGCTGATATGAGACTAATCGCATTGGTGTGGGGATTGTAAACGCTCAAGAGTTCTCAGAGGAGAATTCTAGATTCTGTTAATTATTAACAACTTGTTGTCCTATTTAGTTTTGAGTAACTTGAACACTGTCATTCAGGTATCACTGTAACGTATATAGCTGACTCTTCTGAAGGTTTCTTCTTACATGAAAGTGTTTGAATAAACTGGTTTTGTCTCCTTTCAGCTGTTACCTTCTCCCTGGGTGCTCTCCTGGTGTGTATTTCTATTTACCTCTATGGATTACCTCGACAAGACACCACAAAAATCCAGCCATCAGAGACTAAGAGCTCAAAAGAGAGACTTGCTGTTGTGTGATGCTGTCCATAAAAATGGACACACAGACAAGAGAAAAAAATGGACTTGAAAAATACCTGCATTTTTTTAAAATTAGCCTTAAGCTAGTCATGAAATGGTTCAAGTGGGTAGACTAAAAGCAGAAGTTGGTTCTGTTTTACATCTGAAGTTTCCAGTGGCTGACGCTCAGTTACAGCTGAGGAGCTGGATGGGTGTTTTACTGAAGGTATTCTTCATTCTCATCAGACACTGAAGAGTCCCATTTACAAGGAAAGCAGAATGAAGGAACTGAACACTCAATTGTATATAATGTATATAGTGGAGGGAAGTTGGTTCTTTGTGTATTTGATAAACTGTCTTGCCCTTTGAGGGCAGAAAATGCCCAAAAGCTTCATAAAAATACATTAAAAAGAGCAATTACTGCCAGCATTTTCTCTTAAACCAGTTAACCATTGCAGTTTGATTGATGACAGGAAAAGTTTCTCTTCTAGGTGATACATATGCAGAGGACTTCTCCAGTGTTTTTGAGACAAATTAATAGTATTTTTTTCCCTCCCTGACGCCACTCCACCAGGAGTAACCATGCTGCAAGCATTGCTTACCTAGAAGTGATTAGAAGCAGCACTTGGTCTTTGGTTTAAAAAGTCAGAATGAAAGACTGGTGTTTCTCTTAAGTTGCAGATTTTCTTTCACTTCTCAAATGTTTTTTTATACCTGCTGTAGCTAGTAGAGGGGTATTCTGTTCTGTTCTAGTGTTTTGTCAAACCCCAGTTGTACAAGGGAAGGTTCATCTGTCTTTGTATATCTCTGGCTTAAGTATGAATGAGTCAACTCAGTGTCAGACTAGAAGATTTTTTTCTGTACATTTTACCTCTAAAACTTTTTGTGCCTAACAGTATGATGCTTGAAAAGAGTTCCTGTAACACGTTAGGCTTTGATTTAATTTGAGTGCCAACTGTATAATTTCAACCTCCTCCCTCATTTTCTGAGGCCTCACTCGCGTCAACCCTTCCAGAAACTGCAACTCCACACTGAGGGAAAACTGACTTCAGTGCTTTGGGCAACTCATTTACATTCAAAGTGGAGTCAAAACCATGACCAAGTTTATATCCTGGTTGGATTCCTTCAGACAGGAGTTAACCAGATGGGTCTTACTTGAAAGTGGGGCATGTTAAACACAGCAGTATAATCATGCTGAAATTCTGTTCCAGTGGGAGCGGATGCTCTGCTGGGCCTTTTGCCAGCTGTTCTGTGCATGTGAAGAGCGTGTCACCACCGAGCTGCTCTGGTGGTGGTGGGTACAGCCAGGCATTTCAGAGGCTGGAGCCCACCTGCAATCCTGTACGGATGACACTCGTCAGCAGGGTGATGCCACATCTGACTGTGTGTACGGTCAGGAGGGAGCACAGCAGTTCCTGTTCCACCAGCTGGGCAGCAAACCCTCTTCTTCCTGGACATCATGTCAGTGTGACAGAGGAACAGGTGAGGAACAGGATGTGACAGTTGGTCTTGGCTAATGTTACTGAAGAGGGAGTGCAGCACAACACCCAGGAAAAAAATTCTCTGGTGTGATCTAACTCTGTTACAGTACATAGAGCACCTGTGGCTGTTGTACCATTAGGCCTAAGTACACAATGGCAACCGCAGAAGGGCAGAGCTTTGATTGCTCAGGGCAGCACAGCTAACACCACTTTCTCTATCAGAAGTATGTTGTATTTACAAAGGTAAAGGCAGAGCAGTTCTCTTTTATGGGGAATACCACGTGGACTAGTGTCTTAAGTACACTACTCCTACCAAGTGCCTGGGAGAAAGTGATTATGACAACCCTGGCCTCCCCCAGCATGCCGTGCCAGCTAAGCTCTTTGGGAGTCGGTACAATGGAGCATACAAACCTCTGAGAGCAGACAGCAAGTTTCCAGACCGAGTTAGCAGTGATACACAGCAGAGTATTTGTGTTCTTTTGAAAAAAATCCTTTTACCAAGAGATGCAACTTTACATTGCTCACAGCTTCATTACATTTGAGTTACAGGTGTAATGCCAAGAAGTTTCATTCCGTTGGCTAGAACCAAGCGTGCAGCTTGAAAGAGACAGAGCCTTGCCTGGAAAACAAGAATAGCTGTCAGCTTAGGGTATTGCTACAGAGGAGGGGGTGTAGTTCTCAGAACAGCAGTTAGGCGCAGGCTCACAGAGGTGAGAACACTGTGCACATCCTCTGTCCCCATGCAGGGCGTTGGGATTCCAAACCATGTCCTCTGAGTACGGAGTAACACTAATGCTGGCAGAATCCACAGCAGCTGGTGATAGCCTGGTGCAGTGCCAACAGAGGGATGCTTTTGTCAATGAAGGGAAGCTGGAAAGGGGTGTCCAGCCCAGTCTAGCACCCTCAGGGAAGAGCAATCAGAGGAGATGCCTGCAAGAACTAGCAATGACTAAGAAGTGAAAATCTCTCAGGCATCACAGGCTGTTATAGCCTGAAGATACTGCTGGAATTCCTCCTCTCACTGTACCTGGGTTAGAGGCTGTCAAGCAACTATGGGCTGCTTTGAAAACTTCACTCGTCCTTGTCAATGTCTTAGATGCTACAGAGCTGGCTGTTTGGGAAGGGCTCGACCAACCTTACTCCAAAAAAAATTAGTTCTTGAAAACTGTCACAGTGTAAGATATTTAGAAATATTTTTTTTACTGGATAAGGAACTGAAATTTTCCTTGTAGCTTGGACTGCCTTAGTTGTTCTTCCCAAGAATGCATGGAAACATCTTCAGCAGAAGGAATACCTGTAGTATCTAAGCTCAACTACAGAGTACTGAATTTTTTTCCCTCACAACACAGCTCAACACTTAAATATGATTTCCTACCAAAATCAGGTAGGTAACTGCTTTTGAAATAGATAAAAGAGGAAGTAAAAAAGGCAGTATAATTAGTATATCATTTACTGAGCAGTTATGGAGTCAAACAGTGCCTGGGAGATCAGTAGAAAATAAATTGCATCTAGTTAGAACTCCCCATTAACAGTTGTCAGCCTCAGTGCTTCAGCTAGAAAGGCAGCAGAGACAACTTGGGATATGTAGGTGGCAAGAGGGAGGAGATTCAGTTATTTTCTAATTCTCCGTCTGCCCATATAACCACTAAAGAAAATAGGAATTAACCAGCAAGTTACATGCTCAAATGTTTACTTTTAAAAAGCTCTGAAAGCAAGGCGATGAGAAGGAAAGGGGTTTGACTAGATTTGGAGTAGGGAGCGTTCTGTTTTGGAAAGATCAGGCAGAGCAGCCCTTTCCGGAAGGCACAGCTGTGCACAGCAACCCCTGCCACCCCAGAGCGGTGCTGCCCCTGGGACAGCCTGCCTGCTGGCTCATTAGCCTGTAGGTGCGTGTTCACCCAAGTGACTGCACAGCTGGGTTGGCAAAGACCAAATGGATTATTCCTCCAGGATGCCCTACACAGACTGCAGCCAGGTAACAAAGCTGTGCCATACCTGGGCTAGTTCAGGGGTGCTGCCTTTCACAGGAAGAGTTTTATGTGCCACGGCTGCAAGATGGCTGAAATGGAAAACAGTGAGAATGAGTAAGTCGCTTGACAAGAGCAGTGCTATGGGCTACAGAAAGCTGCAGAACTGGAAAAGCCACAACTGCAGCATGCCAGACACATTTCCAACAGCCTCTTTCACCTTGCTGAAGGAGGGCATGGTTTTCTGTAGCCTGTGTGTTGTCAGGGCATGGCATCAACAAAACGCTCGTTTAAAAAACCCCCAAAACAATCTCTCCACTCCCTCCCCCCAAAAAACCCCAAAACCGGTCTGGAAAGATCCTTGAGAGCCTGCCCTGTCATTCTCAAGGTGCATGATTCCTTACAACATCTTCCTGAACTTGTTAAAGCCTTCCCCACACACAGGCTCTACAGCTTCCTCCAGCAAGTCTGCTCCGGTGTTTCACTGTCCTGTTAAATCAGATATGTCCCTAAGGGGACCCTCCCTACGAAGGTCACATACGCAGTATGACTGACTTACAGTAATAATGTGCTTTGTCCATCTAAACACCTAGGCTGAGATCAGTGGTTAAAAGTGGTCTGGGTAAAATTGCTTAGCTGAAATTTTGAGATTTGAGAACATATCAGCTCAAATCTGCTCTTTAAAGATACTATCAGAGCAGCATGACTTTGAGTTCAGAAACAGGGTTACAGGCAAGTGATTCTTTTTTCTTGAAAGCAATTAGTTTCTGAGGCTCCTGGCTCCTTGATCTCTACTATTTATATTATTTGCTATCCTACTTTATACCTTTCCAGCTCCAGAGAAATTGTCCCACAAATTTACATCTTCCCACAAATTTTTACTCCTGGAAGCAGTGCAGATGTGAGGGCTGCAGAGCCAGCTCAGGAAAACCTGTCCTTACTGGACACAGATGCCAGTATCACCTTACCTCAGTGTGAGGAGGTAGCTGACAATGTGCTTTGGTTGCAGATCCTGAGAAGATCTATACAGGACCTCATCATACCTGTGAAGGAAAGGTTCATTTGGTGTTAAAGTGGTAGGAAGGTGTACACAGATACAAGGCTCGTAAGACTTGCTTATGTCAGAAGACACATGAACCACAACTGCAGAATTAACAAAAATAATCTTCTGAACCAGACCTAAGCCATGTAATTAGCACATAATTGATTATTTCTTCCTTGTTCACCTATTATTGAAAGAGATGATTGCTTCTGCTCCTCATCATGCAAACACTGTAGATGGCAGAGCTCAGGGAGGCAAGCTATAGCAAAGAGAACACAAGAATTGTATTTGCTTCTGAAACGTTATGTCTGGTTTTACATTTCAACACTAATTGTAAGTTCCTAGGAACAAAAAACATGTATTAAATAACCAAGATGATAGTCAAAATAGTCCCTTGGAGGGTGTTGCTTTTAGTAAATGCAGCCTGAAATTTCAAGTAGCTAAAGGGAATCCTGTAGCATTAGGAAAGACAGAAACAAAGTGCATCTACAGAATCCTGAAATAAAATCAACTTATGTAATACAATATCAAACTGGATACTACAGGCAGAGTCATGGAGATCCATGTTTATTGTCCACGTGATCTGCTGTCCACTTGTACACATCATCCTTTTCAAAGCCTGCAAGAAGTCACCAACACCTCTGGGGCTGAACAGATATCAAATTCAAAGTGGACTTCCCGGCCTGTGCTCAGCTCCCAGGCCCATCCCTGCCAGCATGCACAAGCTGAACTTCCCTGGAATCCTCCTCCTTTAAAGGCAAGCTGCAGGAGAACTGGGGAGCAAGCTCTCATAACGAGGGCTCAGCGGTCACCTAAGAGCTATAGCACCAGGGAGGGAGTGCTCCCCATTCCCTTGGTAGGGAAGCTAGAAATTCCGCGTGCATTCAGCAGCTCATCTCTGCCAGCGTGCACCACGT